TGGAGCCCTCCTTCCTGAGCTAAGACAAAAATGTGTGAGCTGGAGGCTAAGAAACTGTGAGCTAGCTCACACTAACTCAGCTTAGAGGGAACACTGCTCTGGAGCCCTCCTTCCTGAGCTAAGACAAAAATGTGTGAGCTGGAGGCTAAGAAACTGTGAGCTAGCTCACACTAACTCAGCTTAGAGGGAACACTGCTCTGGAGCCCTCCTTCCTGAGCTAAGACAAAAATGTGTGAGCCGGAGGCTAAGAAACTGTGAGCTAGCTCACACTAACTCCGCTTAGAGGGAACACTGCTCTGGAGCCATCCTTCCTGAGCTAAGACAAAAATGTGTGAGCCGGAGGCTAAAATACCGTGAGCTGGCTCACACTAACTCCGCTTAGAGGGAACACTGGTCATGACAGGTTAAGTGTGAGCAGAAAGTGTATCAGAAGGGCCCCTGGTGTGTATGTTTCAGTGTGCATGCCTACGTGCGCAGCTCACTGCAATATCCATAAGCATCTCCCCCCTTTTTTCTTTCCTCTAACCCCCGTCTCCTTCCCTGCTTTCAGGGTGAAGCAGACAGAACTGTTCGAGAGGTGGAGGAACCTGCAGATATGCAAATGGGAGATGAACGTCACCGAAGCCAAGTTCTTCAAGTAAGACAGGATTCAAACCAGTGAGAGTTCAGGAAGTGCGGTTTTCCTTTCACAGAGTCGGTGAACGGGTATCTGGGCATAGGCTCATCATGTGACTGTATACTCCTCCATATAAACAAAGTCCATGCACTTAGAAAGCTGACCTCTCAGGGGGGAGGGTTTAGTCCTGATCTGCTAGCTTTCTAGTTTCTCCGAGAGAGAGCAGTCCACCATACGAGCCTATTGCTGCAGTCTGGTGCTACGGCTAAGATGCTGGTGGGAATGAGGAAGGAATAACCTGGGGGGCGGATGCTGAGGGGGAATAACAGATCTCTTCACGGCAGAGAGCACAAGTGTGAATGCTGCTTCAGATTTTTAAAAAACATGCCTTCCAGTAGAAAGCTAGCTCACCAGTGGGAGACGTTCTTGCCTGCTGAGCTGGCTTTCTACTTGCAGGGAGGTTTTTTTAACCCCTTCAGAAATGGGATCCTTCCCTGCTGTAGTAATTCCGCCGTCCCCCCATTCTACCTCCGCGTTCTGCTGCATGTGTGAGCCTGCCCTGAATCTATAGATATAAATGGGAGACCACAGCCGAGCTTTGTTATTAAATTATTGCTAAAACACCATGTGACTGTTGGGGAGTCTGGCTTGTGGGAGTTCAGCTTCTGTGGGGCTCCATTCTGGATTTGGATTGTGCTATGGGGCTAAGCCTGTCCCTTCATACCATTTTCTTGAACGGACTACCCTGTTGGAGCAAGCTTATAGATCAGGACATGTCTTTTTGTCCAGTGGGGTGAATTGCAATCAGTGTTCCCTCTAAGCTGAGTTAGTGTGAGCTAGCGCACAGTTTTTTAGCCTCCGGCTCACACATTTTTGCCTTAGCTCAGGAAGGAGGGCTCCAGAGCAAACTCATTTATGCAGTAGCCAAATCGCTCACTCACAACTTTAATGCCAGTAGCTCACAAAGCTGAATTTTTGCTCACAAGGAGGAATCACTGTCAGGACTTTGGGTATCCAGTATCCCAAAAAGCTGTCACCCTCCACCACTTTAAAAGGTCCACATGGACACATGGAGTGGCTTTATACTGAATCAGGCCCTTGGAGAGAGCATTGATTGCAACCCCATGTGATTATTTTTGGTTGGGAAAATCCCCTGCAGGTTTTAATCCCCATCCCTCCCTACACGCTATTTAATATAGAACAAACCCCAGGTGTTCCATAAGGGGAACTCACAGGGCCTCATTTATACACGCCACAGTCCAAACCCAAAGCAAGGTCCTGTGTGATAGCTATTTAATATAGAACAAACCCCAGGTGTTCCATAAGGGGAACTCACAGGGCCTCATTTGGTTTGGCCCCCTAAGGCCATGCACCCTCAGAAGTCTGCCGATTCCTGCACTGAGCATGCCCGGCTGTGACAGCCCTGCCAATTGTGACAAAATGAGAGCTTTAGGGAAGCGACAAGCAGGAAAGTTCAAAAAAGGACAAAGAAAAATTCTGCTGAGAGAGTGAGTTGGGAAGGAGGCAGTTGGAACTAAAAGAGGATTGGATAGGGCTTGGCTTAAGGCCTGTGATTGGTCAGTTTGGTAAGCTGGGTGCCTGATTGGTGGAAGTTTGAACATTCTCAGGCTGGGGGAGAATCAGTTAAAGTCAGTTGGTGGCAGTTGGACAGAGAGAGGGTTAAAGCAAAGACTGAGGAAAAAACAGAGTCTGTGTGGTGTAGTGGTTAGACTAGGAGACCCAGGTTCGAATCCCCACTTTGCTACTGAAGCTTGCCAGATGACCTTGGAGCAGTCACACTCTCAGACTAACCTACCTCACTGGCTATTTGTGAGGGATAAATGGAGGAAGGGGAGATGATGTGGAAGTACATTCTTCAGTGTGGGTGAAAGCGACTTCTACACTGTGTAACCCACGTTGAACCTGAGTGATAAAGGTGCATGATAAATTACATAGATCAGGGATCCTCAAGTGTTTCTGGAAAGTAGGCGGGGCTTCTGCCCAGCAGGGCTTCTGATTGAGCACTGGAGATTTGATTGGCTCTGTGGATTTTTAAATACATTGCTTCGGCAGCAGTTGCCACCACATCACAAGGCTCTCCTCTGTGTGAATGAAGGTAAGCCGCGGTAGCCATTTTCTGGCTGGCTCCGCCTACCGCAGCAGCCATTTCATGGCAGCCATTTTGTGACTGCGCTCACCGCACTGTATTGGAATTCCAAAGGAGCCGTAATTGTTATTGTTGTTCAGCGGTAGTCTGGATTGGGAGCATCTGCAGAACTTGAGCTATCGGTTCATGAGGGCCACTTCGGTGTAGCGGTTAAGAGCATGGACTCTAATCGGGGAGAACCGGGTTTGATTCCCCACGATTCCCCACTCCTGCATGTGCAGCTGCTGGTGTGACCTTGGGTCAGTCACAAGTTCTCTCAGAGCTGTTCTCTCACGAGCAGTCCTCGAAAGAGGTCTCTCAGGGGGAAGGGAAGGGAAAGGAGATTCCGAGTGATGGCCGGGTTATAAACCCAATATCTTCTTCTTCTTCCTCTCGATCCTTCCCCAGGTCTACCCTGTCCCGGTGTTGTAACGCCCCTGCCTTCCTCTTCACCACCCAGAAGAACACTCCGTTGGGGACGAAACTGAAGTATGAAGTCGATACCAGCGGGATCTTTCACATTAACCAAGAAGTATTCAGGATGTTTCCAAAGGTGCGGCACATTCTTTCGTCTCAAAAGCATTCCCAAAAATGAGCTGCGGCATCCATAGCCAAGCGTTTGGCAGTCCCCTTTTACAAGTGCTTCTCTTTTCTGTTTCAAAGACTGCCCTGCCTCAGTACCAACACACTCCAGTATAGCTGTTGATGCGCGTGTGTATTAAAGGTAAAGGTAAAGGTTCCCTTGCTCGAAAGCCAGTCGAGTCCGACTCTAGGGTTGCGGTGCTCATCTCCGTTTCCAAGCCGAAGAGCCAGCGCTGTCCGAAGATGTTTCCGTGGTCATGTGGCCGGCATGACTACACGCCAAGGCGCACGGAACGCTGTTCCCTTCCCACCGAAGTGGTACCTCTTTATCTACTTGCAATGTCTTGCTTTCGAACTGCTAGATTGGCAGGAGCTGGAACTAGAGATGGGAGCTCACTCCGTCATGCGGCACACTCGGGTCTCGAACTGCTGAACTACCGACCTTCCACAGCCTGCAGTTCAACATCTTAACCACTTGAGCCACCGCAGCTCCCCTGCGTGTGTATTAAGTGCCATCAAATAGCTTCTGACCTCTGGCGACCCTATGAAATAATGTCCTCCAAAATGTTTCCCGTAGTCAGCAACAAACTCCTGAGAAGGCCTATTGCGGGTGACATTTAGAGGTACACTGCGTCTGGTCATGGAGGTTCCAGTTAGCCGTCGTGGTTAGCAGTCATCAGCGGAGCTGACCTCCCTGAATATGAGTAACCTCCCTTTAAAGCCGTTTTGACTAGTGGCCATCACTGCACCCTACATCAGGAGTTCTACAAGTCATGTTCCTTACCGCAGTCCCTATTACCGTATTTACTCGAAACGAAGACAGCCCTGAATATGATGGTGCGCCCCCCCCCCAACATTATAAAAAGCTTTTTAAAAGAAATTATTGGACATAACTGTAATTTGTATGCCAATTTATAATGACCCCCTCTTTTTTTCCTGAAGGCATCCCTGCAAAAACAACAGCACCCTTGTCTTTCATTTCATAGAATCATAGAGTTGGAAGGGATCTCGAGGGTCATCTAGTCCAACCCCCTGCACGATGCATTCGAATAAATACTGTATTCCTTGAAGGTAGTTTCAGAGGGTAGCCGTCTTGGTCTGCGATAGAACAGTTAGATTCGAGTCCAGGAGCAAGATTTGTAAGGTATAGCCCTGACCTGGATAGCCCAGGCAAGCCCGATCTCGGACACTAAGCTGGGTCGACCCTGTCAAGTCCTTGGAAGGGAGACTTCCAGAGAATACCAGGGCCGGGACTCAGAAGCAGGCAGTATTAAGCCACCGCTCTGAAACATCCTAGCCCCACTAGGGGTTGCCAGAAGTCAACTATGACTTCGAGGCGCACAAGCATGCACACACACACACAAGATTTTTAAAGTATAAGCATTAGAAGACCCTTGAGAGTGCCTTGGACTGCAAGAAGATCAAATCAGTCAATCCTAAAAGAAATCAACCCTGACTGTTCCCTGGAAGGCCAGATAATGAAACTGAAGCTCAAATACTCTGGCCACCCAATGAGAAGGGAGCACTCACTGGAGAAGACCCTGATGCTGGGAAAGATTGAAGGTCAAAGAAGACGGGGACGGCAAAGGATGAGATGGTTAGACAGTGTCACAGATGCAACGAACATGAAGTTGAGCAAACTTCAGAGGACGGCGGAAGACTGGAAGGCCTGGCGTGATGGGGTCCATGGGGTCGCGAAGAGTCGGAGTTGACTGTGCGACTGAACAACAACATCAACAAATATTAAGGTAAACGTAAAGGTTTCCCTTGCTCGAAAGCCGGTCGAATCCGACACTAGGGGGCGGTGCTCATCTCCGTTTCCAAGCCGAGGAGCCAGCGCTGTCTGAAGACGTTTCCGTGGTCATGTGGCCGGCATGACTAAATGTCGAGGCACACGGAACGCTGTTACCTTCCCACCAAAGCGGTACCTATTTATCTGCTTGCAGTTTCTTGCTTTCGAACTGCTAGGCTGGCAGGAGCCAGGGCCAGAGACGGGAGCTCACTCCGTCACGTGGCACTCGGGTCTCGAACTGCCGAACGACAGACCTTCTGGTCTTCAGCTCAGCGTCTTAATCAATGAGCCACCGCGGCCCCTAATGGGTATATTACAGTGTTTTTAAAAATCTAAATGCACAGGTGATGCACGACACCTTTCCAAAATGCAAAATGAAATCCTTGCGTCTCCTCTGCCTGTATCCAGCACAAGTCAGGCCTTTCAAAGCCTGGTCCAGAGGCCCCCCTCCCCCCATACCTCTACCTCCTTTCCTTCCACCCAGAAAAATTCCTTCTGAGAGGCGGGCAATGGCCAACCAGCCCTGTCCATCTTTTGCCTTAAAAACCCTGTGGGGTCACCGTAAGATGGCTGCAACTTGATAGTGCCATCCACCACCTCTCACCAAGCCACGCCTTTCTCCTTCTAACTCGTCACTTGAGAAAGATGTGGGGGGAAACCTCGACTTCGGACCGGTTTGTAAAAATCTCAGCATACGCTGGCACAGGCGGGAGTGATTTCCATCTGGGTATGTAGCTAGGGGTGCCAGCCTCCAGGTGGGACCTGGGGATCTCCTGGAATTACAGCTCATCTCCAGGCTTCAGAGATCAGTCCCCCTGGAGAAAATGGATGCTTTGGAGGGGGGACTCTACAGAATTGTACTCCGTTGGAGTCCCTGTCTTCCCCAGGCTCTATCCCCAAATCTCCAGGAACTGCCCAACCTGGATCTGGCAACCCTGCCCCCCATCCCCTGCCAGTTTGGTGTAGTGGTTAGGAGTGCGAGGTTTGATTCCCCACTCCTCCACTTGCACCTGGCTGGATGACTTTGGGCAAGCTACAGGTTTTCTCAGAGCTGTTCTCTCAGGAGCAGTTCTCAAAAGAGCTCTCTCAGCCCCACCTACCTCACAGGGTGTTTGTTGTGGGGAGGGGAAGGGGAAGGAGTTTGTAAGCCGCTCTGAGACTCCTTTGGGTAGTGAAGGGCGGGGTATAAATCCAGTCTCTTCTTCTTCTTTTACCTCACAGGGGGTCTGTTGTGGGGAGGGGAAGGGAAGGGAAAGGAGTTTGTAAGCCGCTCTGAGACTCCTTTGGGTAGTGAAGGGCGGGGTATAAATCCAGTCTCTTCTTCTTCTTTTACCTCACAGGGGGTCTGTTGTGGGGAGGGGAAGGGAAGGGAAAGGAGTTTGTAAGCCGCTCTGAGACTCCTTTGGGTAGTGAAGGGCGGGGTATAAATCCAGTCTCTTCTTCTTCTTTTACCTCACAGGGGGTCTGTTGTGGGGAGGGGAAGGGAAGGGAAAGGAGTTTGTAAGCCGCTCTGAGACTCCTTTGGGTAGTGAAGGGCGGGGTATAAATCCAGTCTCTTCTTCTTCTTTTACCTCACAGGGGGTCTGTTGTGGGGAGGGGAAGGGAAGGGAAAGGAGTTTGTAAGCCGCTCTGAGACTCCTTTGGGTAGTGAAGGGCGGGGTATAAATCCAGTCTCTTCTTCTTCTTTTACCTCACAGGGGGTCTGTTGTGGGGAGGGGAAGGGAAGGGAAAGGAGTTTGTAAGCCGCTCTGAGACTCCTTTGGGTAGTGAAGGGCGGGGTATAAATCCAGTCTCTTCTTCTTCTTTTACCTCACAGGGGGTCTGTTGTGGGGAGGGGAAGGGAAGGGAAAGGAGTTTGTAAGCCGCTCTGAGACTCCTTTGGGTAGTGAAGGGCGGGGTATAAATCCAGTCTCTTCTTCTTCTTTTACCTCACAGGGGGTCTGTTGTGGGGAGGGGAAGGGAAGGGAAAGGAGTTTGTAAGCCGCTCTGAGACTCCTTTGGGTAGTGAAGGGCGGGGTATAAATCCAGTCTCTTCTTCTTCTTTTACCTCACAGGGGGTCTGTTGTGGGGAGGGGAAGGGAAGGGAAAGGAGTTTGTAAGCCGCTCTGAGACTCCTTTGGGTAGTGAAGGGCGGGGTATAAATCCAGTCTCTTCTTCTTCTTTTACCTCACAGGGGGTCTGTTGTGGGGAGGGGAAGGGAAGGGAAAGGAGTTTGTAAGCCGCTCTGAGACTCCTTTGGGTAGTGAAGGGCGGGGTAGAAATCCAATCTCTTCTCTGCTGGTGGCCAGGGGGAACTGGCTACCGCAGTAGGTACTCTAATGAATCGCCAATTGCTCTAATTGTTCCTACAGTGGACAATGAGGAAAGTAAAAATGACCACCTCCCAGCTGAGCGGTGGGGCATTGGCTACATATTCAGCTACTCTGGGTGTTAGTCCTGCCTTTGGTTGCTGCTCTTTGCAAGTTGCCTTGGAGATACCTGTGACTTTTGGCCATCCTGTTTTCTGCGTGCCATGCAGCGCTGCTCTATAAATAAGCCTTCCCCCCCCCCCTCAAAAGTATATTTCGCATCACCGTTTCCTTTGGATGTATTTTTGTTTTCGGCTGCGAAATTACTCATCAAATATGCATGTGCTAATAGCTGCATTTGCAGGCTTATATAAGCAGGTTCTTTCCACGGGGCGCCAGCTGCTATAAGGAGACACTGAGTCAGGCCGTCGGGCCTTCCCCGTCCAGTCCCGTCAGCAGCTCTCCAAGGTCTCGGGTAGTGAAAGGTCTTTCCCATCCCTGCGCTGCAAGACGCACCAGGGATCTGATTGAACAAAATTTGAGTCCAGCGGCACCTTTAAGACCAACAAAGTTTAATTCTGGGTAGAATCTTTCGTGCAGGTGCATGCGTCTTCAGATACCATATCAAGAAATGTGCGTGCACACGAAAGCTTCTACCCAGAATTAAACTTTGTTGGTCTTAAAGAGAGAGAAAGAGAAGATTGGATTTACACCCCCGCCCTTCACTACCCAAAGGAGTCTCAGAGCAGCTTACAATCCCTTTCCCTTCCTCTCCCCACAACAGACACCCTGTGAGGTAGGTGGGGCTGAGAGAGTTCTAGTCCGAGCACTTAACCACTACACCAAACTGGTGGGAGGGTTAGTCCTCCTGGCCCACATGATGCTTTGCCACTCGGAATGGCAGAAACTCCTCAGACAACTGGGGCAAGCCTGAGTTTCAAGACACGGGTCTGCCTGGGCCACGTGTAGCTCAGGTCTAAATGAAGCACTGTAGCTACGTGGGATAACAAACGCTGGGAGCATCTTTCGAGTACAAGGAGAGGTCGTGGCTCAGTGGCAGAGTGCCTGGTTTGCATGCCTAAAATCCCAGGAGCGAAGCAGGATCAGCCCCGGTTGGTACTTGGATGGGAGACCACCAAGGAAGTCCAGGGTTGCTACGCAGAGGCAGGCCACGGCAAACCACCCCTGAACGTCTCTTGCCTGGAAAACCCAATGGGGTCGCTATAAGTCAACTGTGACTTGACGGTACTTTCTATCACAACCAAAGTGTTCGTTACGTTGGACGAGGAACTAGGAGACCCAGGTGCAAATCCCCACCCTGCCCCAGAAGCGCTCTGGGTGACCTCAGGCCAGCCACGCCCTCACTGCCTAACCTGCCTCACAGGGTTGTTGTTGCGAGGATAAAAATGGAGAACTCCGTAAACCGCTTTGGGTTCCGATCAGGCGGGAGAAGGAAATAAACGATCAAATCCCTCTGTGCACGCATACGAAAGCTGATATCCAGAATAAAAATGTGTTGGTCCCAAAGGTGCCGCTGGACTCGAACTCAGTTCTGTCGCTCCAGACCAACACGGCTGCCCACCTGGATCTATCCTCATCTTATTTTTACGCTCTGGTGGGTCGCTGTGTTGCTCTGAAGCAACCCCCAATGAATGTACTTCTTCACCCAAAGAGTGATTATTCTTGGGGTTTTTTTGTTGTTAATTTACAAGGCCCTGTTTTTCTGTATACCTGGGGAGTCCCCAGAGCAGAAATCCACCTTTGCATTGTCTGTGAGTGGCCCAGCGTTACAGCTTTCATTCTCCGCAGGGGGTCAAGGTATAGATAGGAACTCTCCGACTGGGGCAAGGGATGCTCTGACTTCTTGGTGCTTGGGGGGGGGCAACAGTGGGAGGGCTTCTAGTGTCCTGGCCCCACTGGTGGACCTCCTGATGGCACCTGGTGTTTTTGGCCACTGTGTGACAGAGTATTGGACTGGATGGGCCACTTCCAGCATTGGCTTCTCTTATGTTCTTATGTACAGCGTATGCAAGTACGCAAACCACCAAAAAAACCCTGTACACAAGTATTAGGCAACAAACAGTGTCCTTAAAGTGAATTATTATTTTCTATTACAGTCCTTTTTCACGCAAGATAGTCAGAATTACCTTCTAGAGCTTTTGGGGGGTAATATCATCTGGTCTCCATGACTGTATTTTGAATATGTATACATGATCTGTTTTATATAGTATGGAATTTGTTCATAGGCATCAGTATGTATTCACAACTCCACCATCGAGACAGCGGCCTGAAGAAGTCAGAGGAAATGGAGCGCAACCGAGGCTGTCCGTCGCCGCTTCTTTTGTGATTATGTTCAGAGACAAAGAGGGAGTGGTCGATAACTTCTTTGGGAAAGGACTGTAGTAGAAAATAATAATTCATTTTAAGGACACTACCCGTTGGTCTGAAGCAGCAGAACAAAGTTTGAGTCCAGTGGCACCTTTAAGATCAACAAAGTTCAATTCTGCTGCTGGTGTGACTTTGGGTCAGTCACAAGTTCTCTCAGAGCTGTTCTCCCAAGAGCAGTTCTTGAAAGAGCTCTCTCAGCCCCACCTACCTCACAGGGTGTCTGTTGAGTCAGTCAGGTGTAGTGGTTCAGTGCGCGGACTCTAATCTGGGAGAACCGGGTTTGGTTCCCCACTCCTCCACTTGCAGCTGCTGGATGACCTTGGGCAAGCCACAGTTTTGTCAGAGCTGTTCTCTCAGGAGCAGTTTCTGTCAAGAGCCCTCTCAGCCCCAACTACCTCACAGGGGTGTCTGTTGTGGGGAGAGGAAAGGAAAGGGATTGTAAAGTGCTCTGAGACTCCTTTGGGTAGTGAAACGTGAGGGTGTAAATCCAATCTTCTCTTTCTCTCTCTTTAAGCTCAACAAAGTTTAATTCTGGGTATAAGATTTTGTGTGCACGCACATTTCTTGATACGGTATCTGAAGAAGCATGCACATGCACAAAAGCTTCTACCCAGAAGTAAACTTTGTTGGTCTTAAAGGTGCCACGGGACTCAAATTTTGTTCAATCAGATCCCTGGTGCGTCTTGCAGCGCAGGGATGGGAAAGACCTTTTACTACCCGAGACCTTGGGGAGCTGCTGACAGGACTGGACGGGGAAGGCCCGACGGCCTGACTCAGTGTCTCCTTATAGCAGCTGGCGCCCCGTGGAAAGAACCAGCTTATATAAGCCTGCAAATGCAGCTATTAGCACATGCATATTTGATGAGTAATTTCGCAGCCGAAAACAAAAATACATCCAAAGGAAACGGTGATGCGAAATATACTTTTGAGGGGGGGCGGGAAGGCTTATTTATGCTGGAATTTCTTGTATCTGAGGGCCAAGCTAGACGTTACGGCTGTTTTGGTACTTGACTTGCTTAAGACGTGGCTGGTTTGAGTTCTCAGACGTCTTGAGGCCCTTTCAAGCAACCAGCACTTTAGTAACAACTAGGCCACCATTTCCCTTGACCTGGACAGCCCAGACTAGCCCACCCTCTTTCAACCGCAGAAGCTAGGCAGGACTGGTCCTGTTTAGTACTTGGATGAGAGAGAGCACCAAGGAAGACCAGGGTTGCTACGCAATTGGCAAACCACCTCTGTTCTCCTCCTGCCTTGAAAGCCCCTATGGTGTTGCTATAAGTTGTCTGTGACTTGAAGACAAAAAAAGGGGGGGGAATAATTATGTAACTGAAAGATTGGGAGGGTCCAAGGAATCATGGGAGGACGGAAATAGTTTGGAAGAACTTCCTGACGGTTAGAGGGGTTCCTCAGTGGAACAGGCTTCCTCGGGAGGTGGTGGGCTCTCCTCCTTTGGGGGATTTCAAACAGAGGCCAGATGACCATTGGACAGCAGTGCTGATTCTGTGAACGTGGGCAGGTCACGTGGGCAGGTCAAGAGAAGGGAGGGCAGGAAGGGTTGCCTCAGTGCTTAGTTCTCGCGGCCCTTTCTTACACACCCCAGGGAAATGCTGATGGCCACTTTGGGGTCAGGAAGCAATTTTCTCCAGGCCACTTTGGCTGGAGATCCTGGAGGTTTTTTGTCATCTTTCTGGGCATGGATCAGGGGTCACTGGGGGTGTGTGGGGAAGAGGTAGCTGTGAATTTCCTGCATTGTGCAGGGGGGGTTGGACTAGATGACCCTGGAGGTCCCTTCTTACTCTAGGATTCTGTGAGTCTATAACACCCTCATTTCCCCCTTTTCCGAGGCTTGAAGAAGGCTGATTTCTTTGCCTCCCAACTCCCTCCCCCTTTAAACACCTCTCAGGGGCTCTCCGCATTCTTGTCCTTGGAGCATATTCAGTCCAGTCGCCCCCCCCCCCCTTCTTGGGGTTTTTTTTGGGTTAATTTACAAGGCCATGTTTTTCTGTATACCTGGGGAGTCCCTGGAGCAGAAATCCACCTTTGCCTTGTCTGTGAGTGGCCCAGCGTTACAGCTTTCATTCTCCGCAGGGGGTGCCAGCTGTCTGACTTCTTGAACATGAAACGCAACACCCTTGCGCTGACTTGGCTCTCGGTCCGGCTGTGTTAGAACGATTTACTCCCAAGGGGGTTAGAATGACACATTGTAAAAGTTACCGGGGAGGTTTCCAAACCTGCGATTGCCCCCTGTGTTAGTACAAGGGAGGCATTTGCATGCATGGGGGGTGTCGAGATGATGCATGGGGGGTGGTTAGATGATACTGAACCCTTCCTTTCTCTGCTGGTTCCCCCCATAAATGGCTGTGTTTTTGTTTTGTTTTTTTGAAAAAGAAAGAGTGGGAGGGCTTCTGGAGTTCTGGTCCCACTGGTGGACCGCCTGATGGCACCTGGGTTTTGGCCACTGTGTGACACAGAGTGTTGGACTGGATGGGCCATTGGCCTGATCCAACATTGGCTTCTGTTACGTTCTTAAGAGCAGAGGTCCATCACTGCCACCAGGTATAGATGGAACACTCTGTCTGGGACAGTGATGCTCTGTATTCTTGGTGCTTGGGGGGCAAGAGTTGGGAGGGCTTCTGGTCCCACTGGTGGACCTCCTGATGGCACCTGGGTATTGACTACTGTGTGACACAGAATGTTGGACTGGATGGGCCACTGGCCTGATCCAACATTGGCTTCTGTTACGTTCTTAAGAGCAGAGGTCCATCACTGCCACCAGGTATAGATGGAACACTCTGTCTGGGACAGTGATGCTCTGTATTCTTGGTGCTTGGGGGGCAAGAGTTGGGAGGGCTTCTGGAATTCTGGCCCCACTGGTGGACTATCCTCATGACACCCTGGGTCTTAGCCACTGTGTGATCAGAGTGTTGGACTGGATGGGCCATTGGCCTGATCCAACATGGCTTCTGTTATGTTCTTAAGAGCAGAGGTCCATCAGTGGCTGTTAGCCACCAGGTATAGATGGAACACTCTGTCTGGGACAGTGATGCTCTGTATTCTTGGTGCTTGGGGGGCAAGAGTTGGGAGGGCTTCTGGAATTCTGGCCCCACTGGTGGACTATCCTCATGACACCCTGGGTCTTAGCCACTGTGTGATCAGAGTGTTGGACTGGATGGGCCATTGGCCTGATCCAACATGGCTTCTCTTACGTCCTTATGACGTGTTCATTCAGGGTAGAATAAGTGAATCCAGGAGGCTGGTTTATATGACGTCATCCAACATATACGACTGTCATCCAACGTGTGTGCACGAGCCCGTGGGTGTGGCAGTTGTGATTTCCTCCAAGGCAACCTGAGGAGAGCAGTCTGAAAGGGAGCCATGGCTGATTGACTCTCTCGTTTTTCATTTATTTGCGTATTTGCACTAGGAGATGCCCTACTACCGTTCCCAATTTAAGAAATGTGCCGTGGTTGGGAATGGAGGAATTCTGAAGAACAGCCGATGTGGCCAGGAGATCGATCGGGCGGATTTTGTGTTCCGGTCAGTGTCCCAGTATAATTCCTTGTGTGTGCTGGATGCTAAACTAGTAGCGGCCGTGGTGTACATGGGGGAATATCTGTTTATTTTTGCCTTGTACTCACAACTGAACAAACCTTGAAGCTGCTTAGAATTCAGAACGCGAGGTCAAAATACCCAAATGAAATAACTTTAAATGTTCAATATGTTGTCGAAGGCTTTCACGGCCGGAGTTCCTAAGCTGTTGTAGATTTTCTGGGTTGTGTGGCCGTGGTCTTGGCATTGTAGGGACCTGACGTGCTTTTGGCAACAGGAAACAGGAAACCACCTCAGGAAATAATCCATATGCAAAAGAAACTCCTCAGGAAAGCTCCTCAATTAGCCGTTTCATAGCCCTGGGGACTCCTACAAGATAATGACTCAGCCCTACCCCACCTTCCTGAGTAGATATAAATTACCTGCCTACCATTTTTCTTCTCACCTTGACCCGGAGAGTACTCCATCTTTCTGTGTTATACTTCTGAGGATGCCAGTCACAGCTACAGGTCCTACAATGCCAAGACCACGGCCAGACAACCCGGAAAATCCGCAACAGCTAATTTAAACGTTCAGCTTGAAACTTCCATAATGAACATGGATCTTACTTAAAGTCCAGAGGAGGACGACCAAGATGATTGGGGGGGGGAGGTTGGAGCCCCTTCCCTGTGAGGAAAGGCTGAAGACCTTGGGACTTTCCCATTTGGAAAAGAGACGATTAAGGGACAGCATGATAGAGGTTTATAAAATAAGGCATGAGGTGGGGAGGGCCGATCAAGAGAAATCTTTCTCCTCCTCCCCGAATACTAGAACTTGAGGGCATCCAATGAAGCGGATGGGCAGTAGGTTCAGGACGGACAAAAGGAAATACTACTTTACACAGAGAGTGATTAAAATGTGGAATTCACTGCCGGAGGGTGCAGTGATGGCCACAGGAATAAACAGCTTTAAAAGGGGATTAGATTCACGGAGGATGAATCTGACACTGGCTACTGTCCATGGTGGCAGAGGGGAACCTCCACATTCAGAGGCAGTCAGCCTGTGAATTCCAAAGCCAGGAGGCAACATCAGGGGAAGGCCTCAGCCTCTATGCCCTGTTGTTGGCCCTCCAGAGGAACTGGTTGGCCAATGTGTGAGACAGGATGCTGGACTGGATGGACCACTGGTCTGATCCAGCAGGGCTCTTCTTATGTTCTTATGAAGGCCTCAGTCTCCATGCCCTGATGTTGGCCCTCCAGAGGAACCGGTTGGCCACTGTGTGAGAAAGGATGCTGGACTAGGTGGACCACTGGTCTGATCCAGCAGGGCTCTTCTGATGTTCTTATGAAGGCCTCAATCTCCATGCCCTGTTGTTGGCCCTCCAGAGGAACTGGCTGGCCGCTATGTGAGATAGGATGCTGGACTAGGTGGACCACTGGTCTGATCCAGCAGGCTCTTCTTATGTTTTTATGGTGGCCTCAGCCTCTCTGCCCTGTTGTTGGCCCTCCAGAGGAACTGGTTGGCCACTATGTGAGACAGGATGCTGGACTGGATGGACCACTGGTCTGATCCAACAGGGCTCTTCTGATGTTCTTATGAAGGCCTCGGCCTCCATGCCCTGCTGTTGGCCCTCCAGAGGAACTGGTTGGCCACTGTGTGAGACAGGCTCCTGGGCTAGATGGATCACTGGTCTGATCTAGGAGGTATCTTCCTATGTTCCTGCGCCCACTTCCCAGTTCACTTTAATGGAAGGAGTTGCACATGCCCCGCTTTGCATGCAAAGCGTCTCCATTGTGAAAACAAATGAGGACGCCCTTGTAGAAATTTTGCAGGTGGGTGGATACAGAAAAATAGGGGTTTTTCAATCCTATGACTGTAGGTTTTTTGTACACGTAGCCAAAGTCTCCACATGCTTGGGGGGGGGGGAATAAAGAGGAATGATAAAAATACACGATTCTCACTGTGCCAGTTGTTTCCCTTCTCTTGCATTGTGCTTGCTACAATGGTTACCCTCTGTTCCTAACAGACTCCATGACGGGAAAGAAATTGTAGGTCTTTTTTAGACAGGCAGTGTGTAGGCATTTCCCAGAACGGCTCAATGTGCCGCGCTCAGCGTGCTGTTTTCCCATGTCTTCATTGAATCGTGCACAGTCGTTCCCTGGGATGATGAAAGGAATGACACGGGCCGCCGACTGTGGGGAAAGCACATTCTCTCTGTCGGTGGTTTCAAAGGTCTGGGTTGGGGGTGGAGGGACTTGGGAGGATGACGGGAAAAGGAGGTCTTTTTGTCCAGAGAAACTCAAACATAAGATGCGATTTGTGGCACAAAAAAAGACAAGGCCGTACAAGAGGAATCCACGGTTGTTCCAAGCAGGTACAAGAGAGGCAAGGGCTTTGCTGTGTGTGTCCCCCCCCCCCCACACACACACATGATGGTCCCTTCAGCAGTATCCTAAATGGATAGTCTTCGGCCTCTGACACCTGCTCCATGTAGAACCCGCCAAGCTACAGGCGCGGGAGGAGAAGTCACGTGACATTTGGCATCACAGAGAGCCGGTTTGGTGTAGTGGCTAAGTGCGTGGACTCTAATCTGGGAGAACCGGGTTTGATTCCCCACTCCTCCACTTGCACCTGCTGGTGTGACCTTGGGTCAGACACAACTGAGCTCAGGAAGGAATGGCTCCAGAGCAAACTAACTTATGCAGCAGCCAAATCGCTTGCTCATAAGTTTAATGCCAGTAGCTCACAAAGTAGAATTTGTGCTCACAAGACTCCACAGTTTAGAGGGAACATTGCTCACAGGGTGTCTGTTGTGGGGAGGGGAAGGGAAAGGAATCTGAAAGCTGCTCTGCGACTCCAAGTGAAGGGCGGGATATAAATCCAATCTCCTCTCTTCTTCTTCTTCACATGACAAGAAGGGGGAGGAGCCACAGTTGTGATCTCGCTGGTATCAAGAACTGTGGATCAAAGGGCCAGGGATAGGAAACAGGTGTAGTGGTTAAGTGCGCGGACTCTAATCTGTGAGAACCGGGTTTGATTCCCCACTCCTCTACTTGCAGCTGTTGGATGACCTTGGGCATGCCATAGTTCTCTCAGAGCTGTCCTTGAAAAAGAGCAGTTTGTGTCAGAGCTCTCTCAGCCCCACCCACCTCACAGGGTGCCTGTTGTGGGGAGGGGGAGGGAAAGGAGTTTGTAAGCCGCTCTGAGACTCCCTTGGGTAGTGAAGGGTGGGGCATAAATCCAATCTCCTCTTCTTCTTTTACCTCACAGGGTGTCTGTTGTGGGGAGGGGAAGGGAAAGGAGTTTGTAAGCCGCTCTGAGACTCCCTTGGGTAGTGAAGGGTGGGGCATAAATCCAATCTCTTCTTCTTCTTCTTAAATGCCAGAATTAAACCACTGTTTGCAATTCTGGTTTGCAAGTCAAATACACAAGAACATAAGAAGAGTGTGTTGGATCAGGCCAGTGGTCCATCTAGTCCAGCATCCTGGTTCACACAACAATGTGCCCGAGACACGCACGTGGATAGTCCTGGAGCAGGGGTCCCCAACCTTTTTGAGCCTGTGGGCACCTTTAGAATCCTGACTCAGCATGGTGGGCACAGCCACAAAATGGCTGCCTCGGGAGGCGGAGCCAGCCATAAAATGGCTGACCTCCAGTCACATCAGAGCAGTGTCGTATTTTATTATCTTCTATATTACATATTTTTGTATCAGATTGTTGTCTTATTGCTGTAATCTGCCCAGAGCCTTTGGGAAAGGGCAGAACAGATATGTAATAAATAAATAAAATAAATAAATAAGCAATGAAGAAGAAGAGAAGAGATTGGATTTATACCCCGCCCTTCACAACCCAAAGGTGTCTCAGAGCGGCTTACAAACCCTTTTCCCTTCCCCTCCCCACAACAGACACCCTGTGAGGTGGGTGGGGCTGAGAGAGCTCTTGACAGAAACTGCTCTTTTTCAAGGACAGCTCTTATCAGAACTACGGCTTGCCCAAAGTCATCCAGCCAGGTGCAAGTGGAGGAGTGGGGAATCAAACCCGGTTCTCCCAGATTAGAGTCCGCGCACTTAATCACGACACCAAACTGGCTCACAGAAGTTGAAGATCCTTGTGATGCGGTGGGAGCTGTTGCCAAAAGCAATGTTTTTACAAAACTGCATCGCCAGTGAAATCTACAATGGCCAATCAGAAGGCCTTCCTGGACAAAAGTTCCATCTGGCCCTGCTCACTTTCTCAAAGCATGTGGTGGACAGCAGAGACAGTCATATCAGCCACGGGCCCCCACATTGGGGACCCTTGCCCCTGGAGGGTCAAACAAACAGGGCGCAGACGTGAAGTCTCTCCCCTGTTGCCGCCTCCTAGTAACAGTATTCAGAGTCTTTCTGCCTCTGGATAGGAAGGCTCCCTTCAGTCACCATGGTTAGTAGCCAGTGATGGATCTCTCTCTCTTCCTTGAATCTTCTGTTCCCCTTTTACAGCTATCATGCTTGTGGCTGCCACTGGCCAGTTTGGTGTAGTGGTTAAGTGTGCGGACTCTAATCTGGGAGAACCGGGTTTGATCCCCCACTCCTCCACTTGCACCTACTGGTGTGACCTTGGCTCAGTCACAAGTCCTTTCAGAGCTGTTCTCTCAGGAACAGTCCTCAAAAGAGCTCTCTGAGCTCCACCTACCTCACAGGGTGTCTGTTGTGGGGAGGGGAAGGGAAAGAAGATTGTAAGACACTCTGAGACTCCTTTGGGTAGTGAAGGATAGGGTATAAATCCAATCTCTTCTTCTTCTTCTCTAAATGACACATGCAGCTGCTGGTGTGACCTTGGGTCAGTCACAAGTTCTTTCAGAGCTGTTCTCTCAAGGGCAGTTCTCGAGAGAGCTCTCTCAGCCCCACCTGCTTCACAGGGTGTCTGTTGTAAGGAGGGGAAGGGAAAGGAGTTTGTAAGCCGCTCTGACACTGAGTGATGGGCGGGGTATAAATCCAATCTCCTCCTCGTCCACTGGCAGTGAACCCACAGTTTAATTACTTGTTGGGTAAATATCTATTTCGTTTGGTCTGTTCAGACAAAATACATTCACTGTCTGTAAGATGCGCTTTATCGCGCACCCGAAAACGAAGGAAGGAATGGCAGAAGATGAAGGGAAGGCAAGAGGAAGCTCGGGGCTTCTTCACATAACACCAAGCTGTACTTCAGCTTGGGAGTTTAAGAGGCAGCAGGGCATAGTGGTTAGAGCACCAGACTGGGATCTGGGGGACCCAGGTTTGTGTATCCGCTCTGCCATGGAAGAAAAAGGAGTCTCAGAGCGGCTTACAAACTCCTTTCCCTTCCCCTCCCCACAACAGACACCCTGTGAGGTAGAAGAAGAGGAAGAGATTGGATTTATACCCCTCCCTTCACTACCCAAAGGAGTCTCAGAGCAGCTTACAATTGCCTTCCCGTCCTCTCCCCACAACAGACACCCTGTGAGGTAGGTGGGGCTGAGAGAGCTCTGAGAGAACTGAGGCTGGCCCAAGGTCACCCAGTTGGCTTCATATGGAGGAGTGGGGGGAATCAAACCCGGTCCTCAAGATTAGAGTCTGCCGCTCATAACCACTACACCAAACTGGCTCGATGGGTGACCTGGGGCCAGTCTCACTCTCACACACACCTTACTTTACCTTACCTTACAGGGTTGTTGTGAAGATCAAATGGAGGAGAGGAGAAAGTTGTAAGCCCGCTTTTAAGCCCCCGTTGGGGGAGGGGAAGGCAGGGCATATACGAGGCCAATAAATAAATACATAAATAAAAAGGTATGCCACAACCAGGTTTCACTGACCTCGGTCCCGTCGCATTTTCTCCTCCTCGCAGGCTGGCTAGGATACGACCAGTGTTCCCTCTAAGCTGAGTTAGTGTGAGTGAGCTCACAGTTTTCTAGCCTCCGGCGCACACATTTTTGCCTAGGCTCAGGACGGAGGGCTCCAGAGCAGACTGGTGTATGCAGTGGCCAAATCGCTCGCTCACAGCTTTAACGTCGATAGCTCACCAAGTAGAATTTTGCTCACAGGACTCCACAGTTTAGAGGGAACATTGGATACGACCAGTGTTCCCTCTAAGCTGAGTTAGTGTGAGTGAGCTCACAGTTTTCTAGCCTCCGGCGCACACATTTTTGTCTTGGCTCAGGACGGAGGGCTCCACAGCAAAGTGATTTATGCAGTAGCCAAATCGCTCGCTCACAACTTTAATGCCAGGCGCTCACACAGTAGAATTTTTGCTCACAGGACTCCGCAGCTTAGAGGGAGCCTTGGATACGACCCTCGCGTACGTTATCCCCCCAAGCCCCTCGCAGGGAGGATAAGTGCAGAGGGAGAGCTCGTAATCGCCACTCTTCCGACGTCTCATTGTCGCTCCGCTCTTCGCCAACAGGTGCAATTTGCCTCCCATCTCGCAGAAGTACACGGTGGACGTCGGCGTCAAGACTGACATCGTCACGGTTAATCCCAGCATCATCACGGAAAGGTCAGGCCCCCGCGCTCCTGTCCGACGCCTCTGCCTCCACTCCCCTCCCGCGTCTTTGTGCAATCGGCGAGCCTCAGAGAGAGGAGGGAGCCGGCCCCGCTATTAAGGCCCCGGGTTCTCGCTCTCGACTTCGTAATTTCATAGCAACTGGAAACCGGGGATAATTTGAGCCCTCTTAGTGTCAAGAGAAACGTGCCCGAGAGACGCACGTGGATTTCCGCACTCAACCACACGCACAACCCCCTCCCCTTTCATGCAAAGAAATACAGAGGAGCTGTCATGCCCTGGGTTCTGCACTGGATTTCAGATGTCACCTTTGTGGCATGAGGATTTCTTCCATTTCAGCCCCTGGTTTTCTAATCTCTATTTCAGTCGACCCTGGGCCAATGCACTTTGAAGGCCTGGCAAGCACGGGGCTGTGGCTCACGGGGAGTGCATCAGCTTGGCATGCAGGAGGTCCCAGGTTCAATCCCTGCCATCTTCAATAAGGACCGGGCAGGAGGTGATGGGAAAGACCTCCGCCTGAGAGCCCAGAGAGCTGCTGCCAGTCTGAGCAGATGAAACTGACTTTGATGGACCAAGGGTCTGGTTCACAATAAGGCCGCTTCACGTGTGGGATTTGTGCCTCCTATCTGTGAATGAAACCGGCAGGAAAAGAAGAAGAAGAAGAAGAGATTGGATTTATACCCCCGCCCTTCACTACCCGAAGGAGTCTCAGAGCGGCTTACAAACTCCTTTCCCTTCCCCTCCCCACAACAGACACCCTGTGAGGTAAAATAAGAAGAAGAAGAGACTGGATTTATACCCCGCCACCCTTCACTACCCAAAGGTGTCTCAGAGCGGCT